AGGCGTGGGTGGCCGCGTGCCCTCCTGTCCTGTGGTGGTGCGGGTGTCCCCAGCGAGGCGTGGGTGGCCGCGTGCCCTCCTGTCCTGTGGTGTGCGGGTGTCCCCAGCGAGGCGTGGGTGGCCCGCGTGCCCTCCTGTCCTGTGTGTGCGGGTGTCCCCAGCGAGGCGTGGGTGGCCGCGTGCCCTCCTGTCCTGTGGTGTGCGGGTGTCCCCAGCGAGGCGTGGGTGGCCGCGTGCCCTCCTGTCCTGTGGTGTGCGGATGTCCACCAGCGAGGCGTGGGTGGCCGCGTGCCCTCCTGTCCTGTGGTGGGCGGGTGTCCCCAGCGAGGCGTGGGTGGCCGCGTGCCCTCCTGTCCTGTGGTGGGCGGGTGTCCCCAGCGAGGCGTGGGTGGCCGCGTGCCCTCCTGTCCTGTGGTGTGCGGGTGTCCCCAGCGAGGCGTGGGTGGCCGCGTGCCCTCCTGTCCTGTGGTGTGCGGGTGTCCCCAGCGAGGCGTGGGTGGCCGCGTGCCCTCCTGTCCTGTGGTGTGCGGGTGTCCCCAGCGAGGCGTGGGGTGGCCGCGTGCCCTCCTGTCCTGTGGTGTGCGGGTGTCCCCAGTGAGGCGTGGGTGGCCGCGTGCCCTCCTGTCCTGTGGTGTGCGGGTGTCCCCAGCGAGGCGTGGGTGGCCGCGTGCCCTCCTGTCCTGTGGTGTGCGGGTGTCCCCACCGAGGCGTGGGTGGCCGCGTGCCCTCCTGTCCTGTGGTGTGCGGGTGTCCCCAGTGAGGCGTGGGTGGCCGCGTGCCCTCCTGTCCTGTGGTGGGCGGGTGTCCCCAGCGAGGCGTGGGTGGCCGCGTGCCCTCCTGTCCTGTGGTGGGCGGGTGTCCCCAGCGAGGCGTGGGTGGCCGCGTGCCCTCCTGTCCTGTGGTGTGCGGGTGTCCCCAGCGAAGCGTGGGTGGCCGCGTGCCCTCCTGTCCTGTGGTGTGCGGGTGTCCCCAGCGAGGCGTGGGTGGCCGCGTGCCCTCCTGTCCTGTGGTGTGCAGGTGTCCACCAGCGAGGCGTGGGTGGCCGCTGTGCCCTCCTGTCCTGTGGGTGCCTCTTCATTCTGGGGGTTCTCCCCCACGCCTCGCTGATGGTCCTTGACTTGATTTCGTGTCGTTATTTATTTTTAGTTTTGCTGTCGGTGCTTTTGATGTCATGTCCAAAATCGTCCTTGCCAAGGGCAGTGTCGGGGCCGTCCCCGCTGCTGGCCACCTCAGACCTGGCTTCCAGGCGTCTGTGAGTGATGCCAGCTAGGGGCTTCGGCGTCCCCGATGCCAGGTGCTAAGGTGACGGCGCCTGCCTGCTGTGCAGCCTCGGCTGTCTGGCTGGAGGGCGCTGAGCGCCTTCCCGCGGTCTCACTCCCGGTCTTGCCAGTCTGCTGTATCACTCTGGGCATCTGCGTGCATGCCGGCTCCACGCTGCCCCGTCCCTTGTCCTCCCCGCACACCCTGAGTCAGGAGCGTGGGGCTGCCAGTGCGGCTGTTTCTCAGGACTGTGTTGGCTGCCGAGGTCTTTGGGTTCCATCCAAACTTTAGAATTTCTTCCTGGTTCCTGTGAAAAGTGCCCGTGCGGTTTTGTCAGGAATGTGTTGACCGGAGATCGGTGTGGTGGGAACCTGTTATCCACGCTCATTCCTCTGATTCGTGAAATGGCTCTCCTCAGTTTCTCTCTTCAATTTCTGTCTTTGGTGTTTCATGGTTGTCAGGACACAGAAACTGCTCTTTGCTTTATATCAGCAGCTGAATTGAATCTTAACAGAAAAAAAAAGGGACCCCATCAGAAACTGGGTAAAGAAGGCCAGCTCTCTGCTGTGGCCAGGGAGTGCAGTGGAGGATGGCCCAAGTGCTTGGGCCCTGCACCCCATGGGAGACCAGGAGAAGCACCTGGCTCCTGCCATCGGATCAGCACGGTGCACCGGCCACAGCGTGCCGGCCGCGGCGGCCATTGGAGGGTGAACCAACGGCAAAGGAAGACCTTTCTGTCTCTCTCTCTCTCACTGTCCACTCTGCCTGTCAAAGAAAGAAAGAAAGAAAGAAAGAAAGAAAGAAAGAAAGAAAGAAAGAAAGAAAGAAAGAAAGAAAGAAAGAAAGAAAGAAAGAAAGAAAGAGAAAGAAAGAAAGAAAGAAAGAAAGAAAGAAAGAAAGAAAGAAAGAAAGAAAGAAAGAAAGAAAGAAAGAAAGAAAGAAACTGGGTAAAGAAACTGCATAGGGCCGGCGCCGCGGCTCACTAGGCTAATCCTCCACCTAGCGGCACCGGCACACCGGGTTCCAGTCCCGGTCCAGGCGCTGGATTCTGTCGCGGTTGCCCCTCTTCCAGGCCAGCTCTCTGCTGTGGCCCGGGAGTGCAGTGGAGGATGGCCCAAGTGCTTGGGCCCTGCACCCCATGGGAGACCAGGAGAAGTACCTGGCTCCTGCCTTTGGATCAGCGCGGTGCGCCGGCCGCAGCGCACCAGCCGTGGCAGCCATTGGAGGGTGAACCAACGGCAAAAGGAGGACCTTTCTCTCTGTCTCTCTCTCTCTCGCTATCCACTCTGCCTGTCCAAAAAAAAAAAAAAAAAAAAGAAAGAAAGAAAGAAAAGAAACTGCATAGGCATGTTTACAAAAAACAAACACACAAAACAGGCCAGCAGGTATGTGAAAAGTGCCCAGCGCCACCAAGTACTGACCACAGCCACCGTCTGTCTGAAGAGTGCAAGCAAGAAGGCAAGGGTGGCTGCTGGCCCAGTGGTCATCCTCGGGCATGGGCAGGCCCAGCTCTCCCAGCATCAGCTGCGGCCACCCCGTGCCACAGCAGAGCGCCTGGGCTCCAGCTCCCCGCCAGCACCGCCCCTGTGAAGCAGAGGTGATGGCTCGAGTCCCTGCCACCCCGTGAGAGGCCTGGATGGAGGGCCTGGCTCCTGGCTTCGGTCCTGGTCCAGCCCTGGACACTGTGGGTGTTTGGAGAGTGAACCAGCAGATGGGAACTCTTGTCTTTCTGTTTCTGTCCCTTTCCTTCCCTCCCTGTCTCTGTCTCTCTCTTTGCAAAGAGAACAAGTGGATGTAGAGAAGGGGCGCCTGGTGTATTGTTGGTGGAAATGCAGATTTGTGCAGCCACTGTGGACCAGAGCCTGGAGCTGCCTCAGGAAATAGAGTCAGCCCCACCACAGCATCTGGCAGTGCTCATTCTGGGGATAAACCCCCGTGAAGTGGGAGCAGGGCAGACCCTTCGCACAACACTCAAGCTGCCACATCCCACGTGGCCAGGCCTGCGTGAGACCCAGCTCCTGCTAACCACAGCCCTGGAGCAGCCGGCGATGGCTCGAGCACCGTGGGCCCCTGCCAACCCTGGGGAGACCTCGATGGAGTTCCTGGCTCCTGGCTTCCACGTGGCCCAGCCCTGATGCAGGCTTCTGAGGAGTGACCCAGCAGATGGACGGTCCCTCTTCGTGTCTTTCAAACAAAATGAAAATAAATTTAAAAATTCCAGATGAGAAAATGAAGTCAGAATCACAAAGCAGTAGCTGTACTCTCGTGTTCATTGCCATTCGAATGGCAACAACCGAGACACGGGACGAGCCTGGGTGTCCATCGGCAGGTGACCCGGTGTTTATGGGACGAGCCTGGGTGTCCATCGGCAGGTGACCCGGTGTTTATGGGAAGAGCCTGGGTGTCCATCGGCAGGTGACCCGGTGTTTATGGGAAGAGCCTGGGTGTCCATCGGCAGGTGACCCGGTGTTTATGGGAAGAGCCTGGGTGTCCATCGGCAGGTGACCCGGTGTTTATGGGAAGAGCCTGGGTGTTCATCGGCAGGTGACCCGGTGTTTGCAGAAAGCAGGGCCTGCTGCTCAGGACCGCACGGACGAGGCTGGAGGACGATGCCGTGAGGCAGGCTTGGAAAACGTCGCATCTGAGGGGGTCGAGCTCGCCGGGGGAGACAGCGGGTGCACGCGGCTGCCACCAGCTGTATCCATTATGAAATAAAAAACACAACAAATTGGTGTTTCATGCTTGGAAATCTACAGGTAACACGACCAAGATGAGTTTTTGTGTTTTGGAAAATGAAATGGAACCCTTTTGCTGAGGGGACAGATATTAATTCCCTCCAAATGGAGCGTGACTGCGATTTTCAGGTTAATTCAATCAGAATTCCACAGCCAGTCAGCTGGGAGGGGGGCAGGGCCAAGGTGCACGTGAGTCCAGACCTGGAGTGGGGTCAGCAATGCCACGGCGCGTGTGTGAGACTCAGCGAGCATGGACCTTAGGTGTCCTCAGTACACACACATGCATGCATGCACATGCACACATACATTGTGCACACACGCGAACACGCATGCACACATACATATACACGTGTGTGCACTCGTGCACACACACATGTTCACACACAGGTCGCCGTGAGGCGGTGGTATGCCCAATCACAGGGTGTCTGTGCAGCCACACCTGGGCTGCGAGTACTTCCCTTCATTGGATGCTGTCTCCCACCTGCCGTGGCTGCTGTGTGCAGTGGGCTATAGCAGATGGTGATGCCAGGGACTAGGGGGAGGAGCCCATTCACTCAGGCCCGTGGGCAGCTCACTGGGCCTGCCTGTCTCACACACCTGTACCTGCTCTCAGGTGTGCCTACTATCCAGTGGAGCGAGATTGGGGGCAGGTGAGTGCCCACCTCGGTAGCCCCCTAATCTGTCTGCCATAGAAGATGGAGGCCAGGTGAGGGGCTCAGCGCCTCCCCAGGGGACACAGCCCAAGGAGGCCTCGCGGTGAGCCGGCATCTGAGGGTGACCAGGCCTTCCCTGGACAGCCCCTTTCTGAGCCTGGGGCAGGAGTGGAGGAAGCCGGGGACAGAGGGACAAGCGTGGCCAGAGGCTGAGTGAGGGCCCGTGGGCACTAGAACAGAACTCGTAGACCCGGCTCAGCAGGAGTCCCGGCTCCCCGCCAAGACCCTGCGTCCGTGGGCGTGGACAGTGGGCGAAGGTAGATCATAAAGGGGCTGCGAGCTGGTTCTGTACCGCAGCCAAGCCCTGGCCGTGAGGACCAGCAGGGCGGGCCCTGAGTTTTGCTCTCTGCTGGGTCGGGTGGATCTGTGATTTCATGGGGAAGTTCAACGGCCACTTCTACCCAGGGCTGTATCTTTTCTATTATGGGCTGTACCAGGCCACGATGGCGTCCAGGGCTCTGATATGCAACAACCCCCTCCTGTGGCCTCCACAGCCCCCCAGGAGTGAGGGGAGGTGGGGCTGGCTGTGGACGCTGCCCTACGCGGGGCTGCTGAAGACGGCGACCGGCTCCACGCTCACCCTCTACGTGGTTTTCTGTCTCGAGGATGGAATGCTGCTGATGGACAGGCAGCTGCCGCCCCGGTTCATGTACCCCCACGAGTGGCAGCACCTCACCATGTTCGCCCTCCTGGCCCTCCTGGGCTGCGTGGAGCTGGCCAGCGGCAGCCTGCTGCCCCGCAAGTGCGTGGCCCTGGAGAAAGGCGCCCTGGCCCTGACCTTCTACGAGCTCCTGCTGCTGTTTGTGTCACATGCTCAGGGCTCCGAGAGGGTGGAGCTGCAGGTACACGCCCTGCTGCTCCCCGTGGTGCTGCTGCTGAGCCTGGTGCTGACCGCGCAGCTCTGGGCTCCCGCCGCCCGCCAGCTCCGGCTGATGGAGAGCTTCCTCTTCCTCGTCATGGGCTCCTGGCTGGTGCAGGCCGGCTTCATCCTGTACAGACCCATCTCCGGCTTCCCCTGGCAGGATGACGACGTCAGCGACATCATGTTTGTCACCACTTTCTTCTGCTGGCACGTGATGGCCGACGCGCTGTGCCTGCTGGGGGTCCACGGCTTCTCCTTCTTCTGGCTGCGTTGCTACGGCCCCCGCTCGGAGCCGGCGGGGTCCACAGGGGCTCCGTGTCACGCGGGCCCCCGGGGGCCCCTCTACACGTTGCTGCAGGAGGCGGAGCAGTCTGAGAAGGAGGAGGGGGCTCTCCTCCTGCCACAGGCTCAGCCCGGGCCCTAGCGCACCCCATCTTCCTCCCGTGGCTCCCCAGGCCTGTGCACGGCACCCCTCGCTCCCCAGTACAGGCAGCGAGCGCCCTGCAGCACAGCCGCTGCTCTCAACCGTGGTCCCTGTCACCGAGCTGCAGTTCCCAAGGAGATGAGGAGAAAGACACCTACGGAGGAGACACACGTGGACGTGGTGGGTGGGGGGAGCGGAAGAGAAAGGGGCCTGGGCGTGGATCTGTGAGCAAGAAGCACCGCGGTGGGCAGCAGGCGAGGGGAGGGGGCTTCGGAAGGAGGAGCACAGAGTCCAGCAGTGACCCGGCCACTTCCCCGGCGTTTAACCGAGAAATAAAGACGTCTCACAGACCACGGCAGCCACGGGGCTTCTGTGGACAGGCAGCTCCAGCGCGTGCACATGACGGGTGGCTCTTCTTTGGAGCTCTGTCATCCAGTGTCCCCTCGGTGGCCCCAGACTTCCCACTGCTGACCCAACACAGACACCGCAGAGCTGCCTGTGTGCTGCCCTCCAGCCCTTGCCAAATCACAGTTCCCACACCATCGTCAGCCCATGTCAGCACCTGGTGTTGCTCTGTCCCTAGAAGTACACCTGCCATGCCACCGCCTCTGAGAAGCCCTCCAGGCTGTGCCCAGTGCACCTAGTCTCTGTGACTGGTCCATGGGCGCTTCATTTCTGCCTGGGCTGCTGATGGATTCTCTGCCCGTTCCCTCGCTGGTCTTCAGCCCCTGAAGTCGGCTCCCCAGTTCCCCAGCCATCTTCCCTGTCCAGGGGAGTGGGATGTGAACCCCCCTTCCTGTCTCCCCAGTTCCCCAGCCATCTGCCCGGTCCAGGGGAGTGGGATGTGAACCCCCCTCCCCGTCTCCTACTGGGGGTCCAGCTGTCGTGAGCTGTCAGAGGCACTGTGGTCCCAGGAGAACCCCTGCGCGTGGCAGCCCCAAGGTCCCTGGGCATGAGTGGCTGGTGGGGGATCCTCGGCCTGGCAGGGGCTGGCGCTGGCGCTGGCGCTTTGGCCTGGGTCCTGGTGGAGCCGGGGACAGGGCTGTGACCCTGGTTCTCCCACGGCACCCTGCCCAGGCCCCTGCCTCTCCTCCTCTGCAGGATAGCAAGTGTGGTTTTGAGGAAGACATTCGGAAAACACCTCACCCTAGCCTGACCGGCTCAGCAGATCTCTGGTGCTTTATGGGCTTCCCTGACAATGTGTTTCCTGCAAGGTACCTCCCAGGTGACGCACCTGCATCCCAGGTGACACATCTGCACCCACAGATAACACCTCCATCCCACAGATAACACACCTGCAATCAGATAACACACCTGCACCCACAGATAACACACCTGCACCCACAGGTGACACCTGCACTCACAGGTGACACACCTGCACCCACAGATAACACACCTCCATCCCACAGGTGACACCTGCACCCACAGATAACACACCTCCATCCCACAGGTGACATACCTGCACCCACAGATAACACACCTGCACCCACAGGTGACACACCTGCACTCAGATAACACACCTGCACCCACAGATAACACACCTCCATCCCACAGATAACACACCTCCATCCCACAGATAACACACCTGCACCCAGGTCACAGACCTGCATCCCACAGGTCACACACCTGCTCCCACAGGTCACACACCTGCACCCACAGGTCACACACCTGCATCTCAGGTCACGCACCTGCACCCCACATCACACACCTGCACTCACAGATAACACACCATCACCCACAGGTCACACACCATCACCCACAGGTCACACACCTGCAACCCACGTCACACACCTGCACCCTCCGTCACACACCATCACCCACAGGTCATACACCTGCATCCACACGTCACACACCTGCATCTCAGGTCACACACCTGCACCCCCAGGTCACACGCCTGCACCCCAGGTCACACACCTGCACCCAGGTCACACACCTGCATCCCAGTCCACACAACTACATCCCAGTCCACACACCTGCATCCCAGTCCACACACCTGCACCCACATGTCACACACCTGCACCCACATGTCACACACCTGCCCCCCAGGTCACACACCTGCATCCCAGGTCACACACCATCACCCACAGGTCACACACCTGCACCCCACATCACACACCTGCACTCACAGATAACACACCATCACCCACAGGTCACACACCATCACCCACAGGTCACACACCTGCACCCCAAGTCACACACCATCACCCACAGGTCACACACCTGCACCCCACGTCACACACCTGCACCCCACGTCACACACCATCACCCACAGGTCATACACCTGCACCCCACGTCACACACCATCACCCACAGGTCATACACCTGCACCCCACGTCACACACCATCACCCACAGGTCACACACCTGCACCCCACGTCACACACCATCACCCACAGGTCATACACCTGCATCCACACGTCACACACCTGCATCTCAGGTCACACACCTGCACCCCCAGGTCACACGCCTGCACCCCAGGTCACACACCTGCCCCCCAGGTCACACACCTGCACCCCAGGTCACACACCTGCACCCACATGTCACACACCTGCACCCACACGTCACACACCTGCCCCCCAGGTCACACACCTGCATCCCAGGTCACACACCATCACCCACCCACAGGTCACACACCATCACCCACAGGTCACACACCTGTACCCATACGTCACACACCTGCATCCCAGATCACACACCTGCATCCCAGGTCACACACCTGCACCCAGGTCACACACCTGTACCCACATGTCACACACCATCACCCACAGGTCACACACCTGCACCCCAGGTCACACACCTGCACCCCACATCACACACCTGCACCCCAGGTCACACACCTGCACCCACAGAGACATTTGAGTTAAATGCATTCTCAGTTCTTAAAAATTCCAGTTATAAGTTTAATAAGATTCAACAGGCTGGCACTGTGGCTCAATAGGCTAATCCTCCGTCTTGCGGCGCCGGTACACCAGGTTCTAGTCCTGGTCAGGGCACTGGATTCTGTCGCGGTTGCCCCTCTTCCAGGCCAGCTCTCTGCTGTGGCCAGGGAGTGCAGTGGAGGATGGCCCAAGTGCTTGGGCCCTGCACCCCATGGGAGACCAGGAGAAGCACCTGGCTCCTGTCATCGGATCAGCATGGTGCGCCGGCCGCAGTGCACCGGCCACGGTGGCCATTGGAGGGTGAACCAACGGCAAAAGGAAGACCTTTCTCTCTCTCTCTCTCTCTCACTGTCCACTCTGCCTGTCAAAAAATAAATAAATAAATAAAACTAAAAAGATTCAACAAACCCATTTAAGAGTATATCTGGGGAAGACACAGACAGAAGTCCATAGTGGTTTTTTTTTTTTTTTCCAAAAGAAAAAAAAATGAGGAAGAAATGGCTTTACCAGCTTTCAAAATGCATTGTGAGGGGCAGGTGTGCGGCACAGCAGGCTAACCCGGCACTCGGGACTCGGGACTTGAATCAAGGCCCCTCCACCTCCCACCCACTTCTGCCACCCACATCGGGCACCCACATGGAGCTCCTGGCTCCTGCTTCAGCATGGCCCAGCCCTGGCCCCAGTGGGCATTTGGGGAGTGAACCAGCAGATGGAAGACCTCTCTCTCTCTCTCTGCATCGCAAATAAAGAAATTAACAAACCTTACACGAGTCTGGGTGTGAAGTGTGGTGTCCCGCCTTGGAAAGGGGTGCTAAGGTTGGCGGGAGGCGCAGCCAGCTGTCCCCTGCCGGGGTGCAGTGCAATGGTGAACAGGGCACTGACAAAGGCCGGGGGGAGGGCCGCCTGCACCCCTGACCCTAGCTCCAAGTAGCACAGGATGGGGAAGAGGAGGAAATTTTGCCACAGCAAAGTCCAGTGCTGGGCACAGCCTCATGGCTGCTGCCCACGGCCAGTGCCCTCAGATGTGGCCTCAGCACCACGACGGTCAGGCGGTCGCAGGACGGTCCCCATGCCCCGGGCAGCACAGCTCTGAGGAAGACCCCACCCACCCCTGGAGAAGCAGGCACAGCCCTGGGAGTTCAGACAGAAGGGACTGAGCGCCTGCTGGCACCACACCCTGCAGCCACAGGTGACACACGGCATCCATCTTGGCCCATGTGGTCAACCCTGTGGGCTTCACAGAGCTGATGGGTGCCCCCAGCTTGAGCCAGGTGTACTCTGCCCAGAGCTGCCAGCAAACCCCCACCCAGAGAGCTGCAGCCCATCGGGCCGTGAGACCCCTACACCACTGAGCCAGCTGCGGGCAGCATCGTGGTGACCACAGAAGATCCACAGACACTGGGCCAGCCTCCTGGTGCCCTAGGGCCATTGCCAGCAGAAAGCATCACCTTTAAGCTCCACGGAACCACGGAAGGAAGGCCGGCTGGCGATGCCCGCAGAGGAACACGGAGGCCCTGGCGGCAGACCACAGAGGTACGGAAATCGGTGACTCGGCAAAGAACGATTTTAGGGCCACTTGCTGAGGCAGACGACCACACAGAGATTCGACGGCGTGAGGAAGATAGTCCACGATACGGATGCGACTCTGATGCCACACTCGGCAGAGACAGATCACAAAAAGGAAGCAGACGTCTGGGACCTGAAGACCAGCAAATGAATCTGCCAGCAAAGATGAGTCTCGGCAGAAGGGGGCAGGTGGAAGAAAGAACGTTTGGGGCTGCAGACTGGTCTTTCAGAGGAATCAGACGAGAAGGAAATTCAGGAAGACGAACTAGCCCGGGGGGCTGGGGGGCTGGGGGACACCAGGGAGCGGGCACGCGTTTCAGGAGAGACGGGAACAGCCCGGGAAACGCACGAGGGGGTGGGCTGCAGGCTTGGCTCAGCTCTGGCTGCTGCGGCCGTCTGGGGAGAGCACCAGTGGCTGGAAGTTCTCTGTCTCTCCCCCTGCCTCCCTGTCACTCTGTCTTTCCAATAAATGAGTAAGGGAAATCCTTAGAAAGGTGCCAAGTGTCGGAAGACCTCTGCCGGTGCTGAGGAGGGGAAGAGGCACGACCCCACAGGGCGGGCAGAGCGTACACTCTGCTGAAGGGTTTGACGGCTGAGCAGTAAAGCGTGGGCATCCCCTGCCCCTCCGGGGGCGGGTGTCCACGGGCCAGGCTGCAAGGGGACAGGTGGGGGACCACAGGACACATCCACCCACATCCTGTCCCAGAAGAAGCCAGCAGGGGACACTGGCTGGTTGTGGGGCCCCCACTCGGTGGCACAAGCAGTGGGCAGTGCTGACCTCTGTGGT